CTAGCGAATGCTTGCAGCCCGCATTCCAAGTCATAGCAGAATAACAAGGAAATTTAAATAGCCTTTATTTGTGAAAAGTAATCGCGTGGTCATTTAAAGAAAAATTTTCCTCAATCAAAAACGGTTAATGTCCTCCAGTGTGCGATAATATAAGTTTTTACTCCATTAGCTCACGGTATCTGTTTTTTAGTTATTCTTCTCGGGCTCAAAGATGAACGACCTTGTTTGTCTGCGTCAGTTGCAGGTCTCCACTCGCATGCTCGCTTACAAGTCCGGATTGCGTCGCTAAGTGAGGTTCTACGCGGTTCGACAGACACTCTGTCCTTATTTTAAGCGTACGACAAACAGGCGGTCCGTATTACAAGCGTCCGACAGACACGCGGTCCGTATTTTGAGCGTCCGACAGACACGCGCGGTCCGTATTCTAAGCGTCCGACAGACACGCGGTCCGTTGTCTAAGCGTCCGACAGACACGCGGTCCGTTGTCTAAGCGTCCGACAAACAGGCGATCCGTATTCTAAGCGTCCGACAAACACGCGGTCCTTATTTTAGGCGTCCGACCATCAGGCGGTCCGTATTCTAAGCGTCCGACAGACACTCGGTCCTTATTTTAAGCCCCTGACAGACACGCGGTCCTTATTTTAAGCGTCCGACAGACACGCGGTCCATATTTTAATTGAGCGTCTACCTTCCGATAAGTTTCCAACCTATCTTAGAGAAAAAAACTATATTCAATGCGTATTTGAATAATTCGCAGGCTGCAATGGTTCACAAATCTATGGCTTGCTTGAGCGATAATTTGTTCATAATACTCGTATGTTTACAATATAATGATTTACAATATAATGATTTACAATATAATGAAACGATTTTAAACAATAAAAATTTGTAACCTTCCGTATATAACATGGAATTTTGACCGTTTTTAAAGCCGTTTTTCGGTATTGGAAAGATTTTCTGTTTAGGGAAAATGAATAGACGAATCCTTGTGATAGAAAATCAAATAAAAAGATCGTTGAGCATGTAAAAGGGATTTGAGAATCAATAGTTATTGTCAAAGTAATAGATTCGTTCAGTGGTCCCTCTGGGCAATTGCGCACTATTTAAAACTTTCACTTACAAATAAATAACATCATTCAACTTTAATCACAAGGAGCTGAAAGGTAAAAGCAGGATGCACAATGTACGGGAACTAAATCGAAAAAATTAAAATCATGATTATCAGGGTTTCTAATTGGTTTGAATTTTAAGCAATGAATAATCAAACCAATTTTATTGTTTTGATTATTTATGTAAGGATTATTCATGATTTATTCATTTATATATATACATTTATTTATATTTATAAACTGATATCATTACTAATTAATTCACTAGAAGATATATTCCCAACAAGTAATTGAACACGCAAACTCACATGTTTCCAGAAAGGCAAAGAAATCATGGCAATGGATTAGGCCTTATCAAACACAAACCGAGTTTTTATTACAGACTTCACCCCTATTCAAAATAATCAGTAGATGTTCGATTGGTAGTCAGTTGATGGACAACTTATGATACATCTAAGGATATAAATTATAATTCTAACGACTCAAGACATGGGTCCAATAGTTCACTTTCTTACAGGAACGAAGACTGAAATAACGTTCAACGAATACAATGTTCAATAGTGTTTAACGAATATTATGTTCAATAATGTTCAACGAATATAATGTTCAATAGTGTTTAACGAATATTATGTTCAATAATGTTCAACGAATACAGGGTTCAATAATGTTCAACGAATATAATGTTCAATAATGTTCAACGAATAAAATGTTCAATAATGTTCAACGAATTTAATGTTCAATAATGTTCAACGAATATAATGTTCAATAATGTTCAACGAATATAATGTTCAATAATGTTCTACGAATATAATGTTCAATAATGTTTCACGAATATAATGTTCAATAATGTTCAACTAATACAATGTTCAATAATGTTTAACGAATATAAAATTCAATAATCTTCAACGAATACAATGTTCAATAATGTTTAACGAATATAAAATTCAATAATCTTCAACGAATATAATGTTCGAAGAAAATCTCAAACTTTGCAGTGCAACTCCCTGACCAAATCTCCAGCGATCCTTATATCTACGGGCCAGAAACGCTATAAGTAAATTGTTTGTGGCATTGGTTCTCACTTAAAATTCAACTCAGTACCACGAGATGAAAACAGTAATTGTCTTTCAGATGGCCCTCTAAGCTACCTATATTGCATCAAGAAAACTGAAGAAAACAAAAAAATATTTAATAATATTGATGAGCGTTTATTAACTCTGAGTTATTCTGTTGAAACAGCAGTCGCTGAGCATCTCGATTGGAATGTAAAGAAACGTAAAGACATGAGATGTGCTCGTATAAGCAAAGAGGTAAGCGAAGTTAAACTCCTGATGCCGAAGAAACATGGTGTTAAAATATGAGTTTAAAAATTACTTTTTAAACACAACACTTATAAAGAGGCCACTATCTCGGATGTCACACATGTACAATGAATTTCTTATTTTATTTTTAAATATTAAAAAAAATTATTTTACAACACTTCTCTTTAACTTCACTTCTTTTTGGTTTGTCTGCTACAAATCTTATAATCGATATTTAACACACTTCTACCAGTCCACAAAACTGAAATTTACACACTTGCGTAAAGTCGGATACAATGCTTGAATCAATTGACAGAATAAATAATTTTAAAAAATTATATTTAAAAAAAATTTTAACATATATTTTTTATATTTAAAAATAAAATAAGAAATTCATTGTACATGTGTAACATCGGAGACACTGGCCTCTTTAGAAGTGTTTTCTTGATATTTTCCAAGTTTTTTTAATATTTAATAAAAAATTAATTGTATAAATTCTTCATTCTGTCAATTGATTCAAGCATTGTCTCCGACTATACGCATGTGTGCAAAATTTCAGATCGATTGGACTGGTATAAATGTGTTAAATATCGATTATAAGATTTGTTGCAGACAAACAAACAAACAAGAAGTGAAGTTAAAGAGAATTGTTGGAACAAAATATGCGCCTAAAAATTACTTTTTGAAGACAACACTTCTAAAGGGGCCGGTGTCTCCGATGTTACACATGTACAATGAATTTCTTATTTTATTAAATATAAAAAATTTATGTTAAAAATTTTTTTAAATATAATTTTTTGAAGGTATTTATTCTGTCAATTGATGCATGCATTGTCTCTGACCTTGCGCAAGTGTGCAAAATTTTTGATCGATTGGACAGGTAGAAGTGTGTTAAATATCAATTATGAGATTTGTAGCTGACAAGCAAACAAACAAGAGGTGAAGTTAAAGAGAAGTGTTGTGAAAACACTTGAAAAATAATAATTCACTTGGTTGGACTGGCTTGCGTAACTAATATATATATATGGCTTAGCATTACATTGGGTAATATATCTTCCCCTACAGCAAGGTCGACAGGCATCTACCTTGTAGTGATCCCTACTTTAGTCCTTGTGATCGCCATGGGCATTTACCTGCGCTACAGGTTTAAAACCTTGCCATCCCTAAGCTACAAGTTTGAACACTTCCCGCCTTATCTTGTAAATATCTGCTAACGTTTGTGTGTGTGTTTGAAGGCAGGCACCACGAATATATCTGGCAAAATATTATTATCATCTCGGGACATCACCAGAAACAAAAATTTCATTCTTAGCAGTAGAATAGGCAAGTTTTGTATGGGAAATTACAATTTGATTTTACAATTGGGAATTATAAATTTAATTTGAAAGCTGAAGAAGACTTTTTTCATGTCTCAAAACATAAGTAAAATAGAGGTCAAATTTGAGCTATTTTATGGAATCTAGGCCAAATGTAGGTGTAAATTAGTTATTATTAGGATTGGCGATTATGAGAATTACAGGATTAGGAAAAACATGATTGCAAAATTGCATAAATAATGAAACACGGGCAACCCGGGCAGACTTGCTAGTTGCTGTAAATTTTTTGGGGAGCAAAGTAATTCTTAAAACTTCTTACAACGAACGTACAATTCCGCCTGCAGGCTCATTTCTTTAACTCAATTGCTACGCCACGTAATATTCGAATGCGCTCAACCGAAGAGGTAACATTTCTTTTCAACTAAACTTCCTAATATCGTAAAACGACATGATCATTACATTCAATTACTGGACCACTTACTTAACTGATATTGAGAACTGGAATTAAATGATAAGGAGGACTGCTCATCTACAACAGACAGAAGAAATTCATTTCCAGGCAACTGGGGTAGAATGTCTAGCACGCTCGTAATATACATCACTCTGAAAGCTTCGTTTACGGTAAATACCTCAATTCATTTTAATTACCGCTTATTGCACAACGCCTAGACATAAAGCTGACGGTCGCCCGCCTAAGATACGCCAAGGCCGATTGCCGACACGTGCAGGCTTATCTACTTACCGTCGTGGAGTTTATCACGTCCACCATATGGACCTTGTGAACACCTCCACCATATGGACCTTGTGAACACCTCCACCATATGGACCTTGTGAACACCTCCACCATATGGACCTTGTGAACACCTCCATCATATGGACCTTGTGAACACCTCCACCATATGGACCTTGTGAACACCATCAGCAAGAGTTCCTTATAAGCAACTTCAACAAGAGTGCCTATAAATACATGTATTATAGAAAAATTTCGCCAGCGCTGAGAAGAAGAAAAGTTATTAAATGGACTGTTGGTTGGAAAAGAGTAGTGCATTCTTGACCGAACAGGGAAATTTCATTACTCAAAGCATTTTTGTTGATTCAAAAATGCTGCTAAAGGTATTGCGTATGATAGTACAGAATATTTCGGAATTATTACCCGTCCTAATTATCCAAGCTTCTGTGGTCATTTGGATCTTCTTTAATCTCAAAGTGTCGCCTAGAAGTGATAAAATAAGAATCTTATATACATTTTTTAACGTTCAGTGTGAATTTTTTACACAGAGTATTTATCAGATTCCTAGAGCGACTATGTATATTACGAACCCTTCATGTATGAGTAATTTGAAATAAATTTAGTTATCTGTCAAGCGAAATCTACATAACTGATTTTAGTCATTGTTGAATCACGTAAAATATTTTATTTTAATTTAGGGTTAAACCACGAGGTTCAGGAATGGGACAGGCGGCAATTAATGCTGCTATGGCAGCCCTAGTTGGGTTCACAGCGAAATTACTGATCGGGCAAGCGAATTTCCCCACGGACATCGTAGAGGATGACGTCTCTGTGGACTTCATTATCGGTGAGCGGGAAAACATTTGTTGGCAACAATGTTATGATGAACATTTGTTGGCATGGTCAAGTCCCAAATAAAGCGAATAAAATTAAAATTATATAATTCATATCCTCTATAATTTGCTAAATATTTTACACGCGATAATCATTAAAATTTTGATACTCTGGCAACCGCAATTGACTGTGGGGTCTGGATTATAAATACTAATCCCATCATATTTGTAATACCTTTAAAATTATTAAAACTTCGATGAAAATTTACAGTGGGCTCGGGATCTGCGGGCAGTCCGGTGGCGGCTCGGCTGTCGGAGAACCCGGCGTGGGAGGTGCTGGTTCTGGAGGCAGGAGGTGCCCCGCCGGCCGAGAGTAGAGTGCCTGGTATGATGCTCTATTCCATGCCCGACTACGGCCGCTACGGCTACAACTACCGCACCACACCACAAAAATACTCTCAGTTCAATTACGTTAATAATGTGAGTTGGTACATACATATGAGTGATGATTAAACTTAAAAAACTTTTTTACCGCATTTTCTCATTTATGGAAAAAGGCGCTATTGTGCTCGTCATGTCCGTCCGTCTGTCCGTCTGTCTTTCCGTGACTTCACGTTTTCGTCGACGAGAAAATGCGCTCTCTGTCACTCACTATAGTGAGTACGGGGTTATATTTTTAGAAGATAAGGTGATCTGTATTATATTGAAACAAATTTTCAAACGTCGTTGTCAATTGGAGCTGTGAATTTCGACGCTCGACAACAGGCAAACTTGTTCCCTCGCGGAAAATTAATCGGGGGCTCAAGTGCCGTGAATTTCATGATGTACAATCGAGGCAACCGCTACGACTACGACCGGTGGGCCGCTCTGGGCAACAATGGCTGGGACTACAAAACGGTGTTGAAGTATTTCAAAAAATCTGAGAACTACAGAGGACGAATCACACCAGAAAACAGTGAGCGCTACTCATATATCTGGGTTGTGTCGATAATTACCCACTATTTTGATTTTGTTTGCATTCCTACAGATAAGATCCTGTAGTGCATTGGATTTTTCAATATTTTTTACCGGACTAAGTAGACTGGAGCCAGAACCAGTTTTACTTGTACTCTATTGCATAACTCCGTTAAACTCATTGTAAGAAGGGATTTATCCGCCGTTGTGCATAGATAGGTTTGCTTATGTGAATAATAAAAAAATTGAAATATTGCGTTCTATAATGAACCAATGTTTGACTCCCTGCACTATACCCCGCAGCGGCGTACCACGGCGTAGGAGGACCGATGACGGTGGAGAGCAAGCGCTACGGCACGCCGCTGGCGAAGGCTTACCTGGACGCAGGCAGAGAGTTGGGGTACCCCAGCCTAGACACCAACGCCGCGTCGCAGATGGGTGCGGGATGAGGGCTTAATGACAGTTTACGTTATGGTTTACCATCATAAGTGGGTGCGGGATGAGGGCCTGACAAATTGTTTTGCTATGTTTTACGGCTGGATGAAGTTGAATAATGACGGTTTACGTTATGATTTATCATCATAAGTGGGTGCGGGATCAGGGCTCGACAAATTGTTTTGCTGTATTTTTACGGCTGGACGAAATTGAATTATGACAGTTTACGTTATGATTTATCATCATAAGTGGGTGCGGGATAAGGTCTTAACATATCGTTTTGCTGTATTTTTACGGTTAGAGGAAGTTGTGTTGTGACAGTTTGCGTTATGATATACCGTAGAAAAAAAAAGAGTTTTAAGGACTTTAAATATAAGCTTGCAAATGTGGGGTGTAAAAGATACGCACGAGTATTATGGCGCATATGAAAAATTTTATGACGGTTAGCAGATTACATATCAATGCCAGAAAATGTAAACTTAATTTTTTGCAATAATTAATTTTTTGCTGATTTCTAACGAGTCAATTAGGACATTTTACGGTAATACAAGCGTACAAGCGGGGTAGGAATACAAAATATTCATGAAAGGTTGCAATGAATTGCAGTCAATGGCTAATCAAAATATGTGTGTGTAGAATTCTCACGTTCCTGTAGTTTATTGAACTCTTTTGCTAAAAAAAGTTTGCCAAGATATGTTCTTGTACTACCTGACGGATTCATACAGATTATACGCCTTAATTATTGAAGAGAAAGTTAACATTAAGAATAAATATCATCATTAAGGAAGGTTACTAATAAGCATTCCGTATTACGAGAAAAGTTTTGTTCAGGTTTCAACACACCCGACGTGACCGTGAAGGACGGACTGCGACAGTCGGCCGCGGAGTCTTTCATTAAACCAAATCTGCACAGACGCAACCTCAGAATACAGTCGGACTCACAAGTTACGAAGGCAAGAATATTCTTTCTTAGTAAATTTATTTAGAGCAACTGAAGGCAACACTAACATTTTGATATTAATTTCTGATCCGGTAAACTTAATGGAGTATGAACAATTTTAAAAAATTTAGAACACTATGTTTCAAATTTACTGAATAAGTGAGTAAAACAACGCCATGCCTAATAGGACAGGGAATGCCAAATCTAAGCCGGCAGTTAAAACAAACATTAGTTTAACTGTCACGTTCTAAAAAACGAGCTCCAACTTTGATAAGTATTAATTTCTGGCAGATAATACATTTCTTCTGGAATGTACAGCCATTTTTAGCGCATTTTCTGATTTATGGAAAAAATGCACTATTGGGCTCGCCATGTCCGTCTGTCTGTCTGTCTGTCCGTCCGTCTGTCCGTCCGTCCGTGACCTCAAGTTTTCGTCGACGAGAAAATGCGCTCTCTGTCACTCACTGCAGTGAGTACTGAGTTACATATTTTATTTATTCTTTGCAGGTTTTGTTCGATCGAAACCTTCGAGCCATCGGCGTCGAGTACAAACATCGCAATCGAGTGCGGCGAGACATTACTTATTTAAGCCTGAAACTTTTTATTCATCGAATTGAATAGGAATTAGGGCTCCAATGCTATATCATTGTTGATATATTCATGTAGTAGCCATATTTTCATGAGAGAAGATATCCTCGGAGATGTACGAGTAATGACGTTTAATTAAAAGACCTGATGCAACTTGATGAGCTTGTGTAATCTCATTATGAACGTCCGTATAGTTAGTTTAATTCACTCGTCAGGTTCCAATTATTTCTCCATTAAAAGCTAATGGTTCCCATAACATTTCCTAGCGCTCTAGGTGCGAGGAATAAAAACTAATTCTAATAAACTTGCCTTAGGCAACATTGATTTTTATTTCTCTTAGTTATAGTACATTTTGATAATTCTTATTATATACCATGTTTGGAGGACGTTTCAATAATATTTATTATTTCTCATCTATTTAATTCATGTTTTTGCACTGGAGGTGCGTCGCGCGTACGCCCGCAAGGAGGTCGTGCTGAGCGCTGGCGCTGTGGACTCGCCGAAGCTCTTGCTGCTCTCGGGCGTGGGGCCGCGACAGCACCTCGAGGCCCTGGGGGTGAGACATACGCTAAACTCTTGCGTCCCGAGGGCACGTTTATGCGCCTCCAGACTTTGTACCTAAACCTGACGGCAGGGATTCGTTGTTGCACTTAATTTGGATTTCTTAAGCATATATCTTTAATAATTTGTTCACACTATAACACAATGATTTGTTATATGAATCTCCTAAAGATTTGCTTATTTATGGCATTGTTTTTCAGATTTGCGATAAATCTTATGAACTATAACTTCAACACATCATTTCATTTTTTCTGCTTATCTTAGGAATGAATCTTGAATAGTTGTTCTTTTTATGCCTTGATCATTTGTGATATAAATCCCCAAAAATCAGTGTTTATAGTATTATTTTTTTTATTTATACAGGAGCTTTTGAAACGTAAACGAAATTATACTCAAGTTGCATCATTTTGTAGCTTCTGAAAAGGCGCGTCTAACGCAGAAAACCGCATCTCGGTGCGTGCTCTAGTTTTTGCGTTAAGCAATTTTAAAAATATATAAAATGAACATTTGTTAATAACAAATTGTAGTTCTTTCCGGTAAACCTTAAAAATCATTCTCACTGTCTGTACGAATTACTTTTGATAAAGTTCATTCCTTTATTAACTTCAATCTCCCATAGATCAATTAATTTTCAGCATTGCATTTTTCTTCGATTTCCTTTCAACACAAGTTTGAAAATTTTTCAAAGATTCGAACTCTGGTCGACCTACCCGGAGTCGGGCAAAATTTCCAAGACCATCCATCCATTTTTGGAATTTGTTGGAATGTTCCTAAGGGAATGGCCACCTCCTTCCAGCGCCTCCTCGGCCCAGCGTCAAAAATTGAGTACATCACCAAACGATCAGGTGCGGAAAGTAACTTTTATTTGTTCGAGTCTTGCGTTCTCTTCGAGTTTGTCCAAAATATTCTATTAATATTATAGAGACTATTGTTAGCTGCAACCATTCATATATTCTGGTATAATCTTCACTTGTTTAAACTTAGATATTGACATCATATTGTGTTGAAAGAATATAATGATCAACGAAACGCATGTTGCACTTCACCGATACCTGATCAATTACTTTGTGCATTCGATTTGCCTGCCAATAATTAGAGTAGCTTGCCACCGCGCGAAATACGCCGTTCTTGCAGCATAAATACCGGTTGGCATAGACACGTTCGCCAGGAATCAGACACTTAACAACCTCAAGTCTTAGTTTGCACCTACCTGAAAATCCATGACTTTTCTGTTAACAGTTTGATAATCGTATCAATTTTCTAGCGCGCCACGTGCCTTGCATTACTTCGTCTTGTCTCGCAGAAATTCAAGTATTTTGCTATCGTATTGTTAAAATTTATCGTACTAAAAAAGGTCCTTTGAGTGCACCTTTTGGGATGGAAGGCAACGCTTGGGTGCGCCTGCGGGAGGGCGACCCGACCTTCCCGGACATGCAATTCCTCATTGCCTCGCTCTCTATCGGAGTTGACTTCGGTCTGCTCATCTCGCCCACTGTCGGCTTCAAGAGAGAGGTTAAAGCAACTCATTTTAATACAACACATTATGAATTAGTTAATAATGTGTTAGAACAGCTTTAAATTAGACATTTGTATGACTATACTTGCTGGCTGCGTAGACTGAAAGTAAAATATTATTTACACATGAACATCGAACAATGAACATCTAACAGAAGTTTAAACTTCTATTCCAATTGCATTGTATTCGGCGTTGAAACAAATGTTTAAAAATTGTTGCAGAAGCCAAATATGGCATATAAATGTTGCATATAACAGAAAATTTGATTAAAATGCTACTATACACAACACTAGCCGGGTGCGTCTCTTGGAGCAGAGTGTTCACAATAGAATTTTTGAACGATTTCAAGGTATAACATATAAAAATAAATATGAGATATTGGCGGCCAAAAATATTACAGATGAGCCATATGTTTTCGACCATATACAGGGTGCGGCGCGGGAACTTACTTATTTGAATTGCGCGCCACGTGGCGGCCATTAGTCCTAGGAAGGTGGCGCCATGCGCAATATGGTGCGCGGGCTATGAAGTTTTTCGTCCACTCAGTTCAGTTGCGACCATGCAGTGGTCGAGAGAGGAGCGCGCGTTCGCAGTCTCTGTGTACTTTTCTAATGGCCGGTCTATCGTTGCAACCCAGCGTGCGTTTAGGAGGCAGTGTAATGTCGCGCCCACTGGTCGTGTTCCTGGTCGTACATCAATCGTTCAGTGGGTGAATACTTTTATGAATACAGGCAGTGTGTGGAAACAAAAACCAGGTCCTTCCAAAACCACTAGGACGCCAAAAAATGTCGAGAGAGTAAGGCAGGCGGTTTTGCAATCACCTAAGCGATCCGCACGAAAACATGCATCTGCGCTTAGAATTTCCGATCGCACAGTTAGGCGAAACCCGACGTGACCGTGAAGGACGGACTGCGGCAGTCGGCCGCCGAGTCTTTCATTAAACCAAATCTGCACAGACGCAACCTCAGAATACAGTCGGACTCACAAGTTACGAAGGCAAGAATATTCTTTCTTAGTAAATTTATTTAGAGCAACTGAAGGTAACACTAACATTTCAACATTAATTTCTGATCCGGTAAACTTAATGGAGGATGAACGAGTTTAGAAAATTTCAAACACTATGTTTAAAATTTACTGAATAAGTGAGTAAAGCAACGCTCTACGTTATCAGACTGAAATGCCAAAACACAGCCAGCCGTTAAAACAAACATCAATTCAACTGTCACGTTCAAAAACATCGAGCTCTCATTTAATAAGTAATAATTTGTAACAGATAATACATTTTTTTCTGGAAAGTACAGCCAATGTTGTGAATTTTTAATTTTTGAATTTCATCGTTGCAGGTTTTGTTCGATCGAACCCTTCGCGCCATCGGCGTCGAGTACAAACATCGCAATCGAGTGCGGCGAGACATTACTTATTTAAGCCTGAAACTTTTTATTCATCGAATTGAATAGGAATTAGGGCTCCAATGCTATATCATTGTTGATATATTCATGTAGTAGCCATATTTTCATGAGAGAAGATATCCTCGGAGATGTACGAGTAATGACGTGTAATTATAAGACATGGTGCGAACTTGATGAACAAGTGAACGTCTGTTATGAACGTCTGTATTGTTAGTATAATTAACTCGTTAGCTGTCAATTATTCCTCCATTTAATAGCTAAGGGCTCCCATAACATTTCCTAGCGCTGTAGATCCGAGGAATTTTAGTTAATTGTAACAAACTTGCAGTTGACATTGATTATTATTTCCCTCGTTTAATTACATTTAGATAATTATTATTATATACCATGTTTAGAGGACGTTTCAATAATTTTTATTATTACTTCTCCATTTAATTGTTGATTTGCACTGGAGGTGCGTCGCGCGTATGCCCGCAAGGAGGTCGTGCTGAGCGCTGGCGCTGTGGACACTGGACTCGCCGAAGCTCTTGCTGCTCTCGGGCGTGGGGCCGCGACAGCACCTCGAGGCCCTGGGGGTGAGACGCGCTAAACTCTTGTATTTTTTACGTCATTACACTTGATTTGGATGTCTTGGGTATAAATCATTATAATTTGTTTACATTATGTCATGATAATTTGATTAATGAATCTCCCAAAGATTGCTTAAGGCATTGTTTTTTAAATATACAATAGACGTCATAAACTATAGCTCCTACACGTCATTTCATCGTATTTGCTTATCATAGTCATGAATTTTTAAATAGTTTGTTCCCATTATGCCTTGATTATTTGTGATATAGATCCCCTAAAGATCAATGATTTCGGTATTTTTTTAATAGAATTTATACAGAAGCTTTTGAATCATGAACAAATCGATACACCACTCAGGTTGTAGCTCTTTCTGGTTAAATCATCTTTGCTATCTGTGCAAATTATTTTTGATAAAGTTCATTCCTTTATTAACTTCAATCTCCCATAGATCAATTAATTTTCAGCATTGCATTTTTCTTCGATTTCCTTTCAACACAAGTTTGAAAATTTTTCAAAGATTCGAACTCTGGTCGACCTACCCGGAGTCGGGCAAAATTTTCAGGACCATCCCACCATTTTTGGAATTTCTTGGTATGTTCCTAAGGGCATGGCCACCTCCTTGCAGCGCCTGCTCAGCCCAGCGTCAAAAATTGAGTACATCACCAAAAGATCAGGTGCTGAAAGTATACTTCTATTTGTTCGAGTCTTGCACTCTTCACTTGATTAAACCTAAAAGTTATTGTGTTGAAATATTATAATGATCAACGAAACGCATATTGCACATCACCGATACGATCTGATCAATTACTTTGTGCATTCGCTTTGCCCGTCAATAATTGGAGTAGTTTGCTACCGTGCTAAATTTGCCATTCATGCAGAGAGTTGGCATAGACGGGTTGACATAGACGGATTAGACGCGTTTGCCAGGGAACACACTTAACAAGCCTAAAGTCTCAGTTTGCACACACCTGAAAATCCATGACTTTTCTGTTAACATTTTGATAATCGTATCATTTTTCTAGCGCGCCACGTGCCTTGCATTACTTCGTCTTGTCTCGCAGAAATTCAAGTATTTTGCTATCGTATTGTTAAAATTTATCGTACTAAAAAAGGTCCTTTGAGTGCACCTTTTGGGATGGAAGGCAACGCTTGGGTGCGCCTGCGGGAGGGCGACCCGACCTTCCCGGACATGCAATTCCTCATTGCCTCGCTCTCTATCGGAGTTGACTTCGGTCTGCTCATCTCGCCCACTGTCGGCTTCAAGAGAGAGGTTAAAGCAACTCATTTTAATACAACAATTCATAATTTCGTTGATAATGTGTTAGTACATCTTTAAATTATACATTTTATGACTTTACTTTCTGATGGCGTAGATTTTAAGGGGGGCGTCTACCCTAAAGTTTTCGGATTTGGCTTTCTGGTTTTTAGTCTCATCAGCTGACTTTCTGCCCTATCCAACGGTACCATTGCAATCTCTGTACGTTGATTTATGCGTTCACGACAGATCATGAAAGGGAGTGGGGTGGGGGAGTTCTTTAACAAATAGAATAGGAGGAAATTCGCTGCGAGCACTTTAAATAGAGTGTCTGCTTGAGGTGCACCTAAGTTACCCGCCTGGCGTCATATTAGGAGGTGCACATGCAGCCGCTCCCACCATCCTTGACTGGAATCAAGCTCCAGTAGCATTGAGCTCCTTGCTACATTGAGTGTCTAATGCGATGCGTGCGGGACTTTGTCGCGCTCTCCTGAATATTCACACTTGTTGTCGCGGCAAACCTATCTCCTCCTAGAGTTTTGAAGCTACAGCGATTAGACATATACCATTCGATTCGTAAAGACCATACCTATCGAGTAACAAAGCTCTTTTTTAGATTTGTGCATATTTTGGAGTCAAAATCGGGGGGAGGGAGGAAAATCTGAAGAAAATGAGAAGAAAACGGGAAAATGCGTGCAAAAAAACTAAGGCAAAAATAAAAAAATCGGGCTTCGTTACTCGATTGGTATGGTCTTTACGAATCGAATGGTTTATCTTTCATGGCTGTAGCTTGAAAACTGTAGGAGGAGATAGATTTTTGAAGTGCCCTTTTTTTGTTCGTTCTCTATGAATTTCACGTTTTCTATTAGTTTTTCCGAAAAAGTCACACGAACAAAATCTGCTTGTATTTCGGTTTTACATATATGTGTGAAGTTTCAGAAAGATCCGTTAGTAAATGTGGAAGTTTTTCTGGTGGGTCCTTTGCTTAAGTAGAATACTATTTTCACCTGAACAATGAACAATGAACATCTCACTGAAGCTTTGAAACTCTACACCCATTGTACCGTAATCGGCGATGACGGATGTTTAACAATTACAGAAGCTAAATATGGCAAATAAGTTTTTCCTAAAAAGGAAAGTTTGAAGAAAATTCTACTACAAAACTCTAGCCGGATTCGTCTTTTGAAGCAGAGAGTTCACATTAGAAATTCTGAACAATTTCAACGTATAACATTTGAATAACATGGAAATAAATCAAAGATATTGGCGGCCAAAAATATTACAAATGTTCTAAATATTTTTGACCAAATATTTCGTCCGCGGTTCGTTCGATCGTTCTTACAATGGACGACAATCTTCATTCAAATAGGAACATTTGAAGAAAAAATATTATTATTGCAGGTGTACAACGACTATTTCAAGCCGTACCAGGGCCAGGAAGGCTTCAACATTGGCCCGATGTTGACTGTACCCAAAAGCCGCGGATCGATCACGCTACGGTCAAATGATCCTGCAGATCCTCCGCTGATCGATCCCAACTTCCTCAGCCACCCGGACGATGTTGAACTATTTTTGGAGGGTTAGTCCAACTGATTAGTCCAAACTGTTATAGCTATGCACATAGTTGTCTCACAATTGAAATTTTATGTATTTTGTATGACGTCAATGGATTTATTGGTTATATATAATGGCATTAATGAATGTATCAGGAATAATAATGGTTAGTCTTAAATTTATGCAATATTTTGTTTGGAAGTAGAGACAACTATCGAAGAAACGATAGTTCCGTAAAGCAAAACCCGCCTCTCTAGCAAATTCAGGATTCTCTTTTGAATTTCATGTTTATTTAACTACTATTTTCTAGTCTTATAACTTCAATTTTCTGAACATGTCATTTGATAAATGGAGGCGGCTTTAAAATTTTATTCGTTAATTTATTTATAAATTTAACGTATGTTGCGCTTGCGTATGTTCCAGGTGTCAAATTCGCGCTCGCCATAGGAAATACTACCGTCATGCGGGAGAGGATCGGTGCCAGGTTTAACGATCGCGTAAGAAGAGAGGAAAAGAGAGGAAGATATTGAATGTATTTATTTGTTCTGTCTTTTATTCCAATAATAAAAGTTCTAGTCCTCGATAAAGATTCATAGAAGTAAATGCACGATACAACACTAAAGTCGTAAATGCATATTGATTAAAATAGGGATGGTAGTTAATTTGATGACTGAATTTTCAGCCAGTTACTGGGTGCAAGCATTTGAGTTACGGATCGGATGATTACTGGCGTTGCTTCATCCGCCGGATGGCGTCAACCACCTACCATCCAGCCGGCACTTGCAAGATGGCGCCCGAGTCAGACCCAGGGAGTGTTGTGTCCTCACGATTACTGTGAGTATCCCAGACGCTGGTCGGTATCTAATCCTCCGCATAAATTAAGTTCAAATTACGAGGTATTCTCATAGAAAGTATTTCTATACTGCAAAAAGTCCATACTATACTTGTAAAAAATTTAAAATTATATACTCTAAAGTTACTTTTTGCGCAGCATTCCTGCGTCTTGAAATTTATTCTTACAAATGTTTTGTGTGCAGCGTGCGGGGAGTCTCCGGGCTTCGGGTCATCGACGCATCCATCATGCCCTTTATCACCTCGGGTGAGTGCGATTTACCCACTTTCAATTAGCATTTGTAATAATAGTTGTGTCAGCATTCATTACTATAAATCATTAGGCCAAATATGACCTGGCCGCTCCTGGCGGCTGGCGCCGATTCTTGAAACCGTAGAATTCCAGCAGCTTGCTGGGCTTTAAATATTTTCTAACACCCTCGGGCCACCTCGCTGATTTTGACCAAAAATGTAAAGGATGCTGGGGCTGAACCCATAACTCAATGCTCCAATTCTGGTACTCTGAACTGTGACCACTCGACCACCCTGCCTATGACTAGAGAAACATTTTGTGTATGGGTGTCTGGTATGATGGTATCGTAGATAAACATACGATGTAGCTACTCATTTATGACGCAAAACTTTTCGACTTTCGTTCCGAAAGCGTTCATAAAATTGTTGTCCAGGTGCTATATGGGATCGTTGGTCGGTTGGTCCTAAAACCTGCCGTGCCGAACACCGATTCGAAACTTTAATTTATGACTGGGCGAGCAGCCCCAATAATTCCATAATTCCTATCACAGCGCATTGGTAGTACCTACTTATATTTCGAATTTGAATGAAATCCGTTCAGTATTGAAGGAGTTATGACTGGGCGAGCTGAGCGTTAAGTTAGGTTTTGCGTTCGAGTGCGCAGGCGAGTTCGTGTAAGTGTCGAAGCGGTTTGCCGAACTAACCTGCTGAATGAACTTTTTACTCGGGTTCACCTGTGAGGATATGATTTCATCCTCTAAAAGGAATCAACTCGTTGAAAATTTCCAAGTGAAGTAGGAAGATTCCAGAAGTACTATTAGAATATTAAACAATGATAAATACTTGTTAACTAAAACCAGTGGTCCACTGGTCCAGTTGGTTCTGTTCCGAGAAGCCAAAGTTAACGGAACGGTTCTGTGATCAGTAAACCTCTGAATCTGTAATTTCACCGCACTAAACGGATTCATTCACTAATTCATTTAAACCTCAAGTCAAGGTAGAGAGTCTTGTATTATATATTTTACATAAGAATGAACAGTCATGATATCACCATCATCATTATTTCCTTGATCACACATCACTTTGACGGTAAGAAATTCATCCTCAATAAGAAAAGTACGTAACAGCCTTTACTCAAATTTACCTAGGTTTCGATATTTTTCGTCCGCTCGTCAGTTTTCGTTGTGGTACTTGGTATCGAAAATATTCATGTGCAAATTTTTGCTAAAAACTTCAATTTACAATCTTTATTTATTTTCAGGTAACACGAATGCCCCGAGCATCATGATCGGCGAGAGAGGTGCGGATTTCATCAAGGAAGATCACGGATTTATTTAAATCAAAAGTCGATAATCGAGAAAAGTAATTTTGCGTCATCTTTAGGTGCCATTTTTGTGTGCCACTTAGGTGCATAAGCTTACAATTGTTATAATAATCTCTGGACATAGGCTCATCCGTAACATGAACAGCAAAACTTAACACGAAAATTCACTGATAAAAAAGGTGGCCATGATGATATCAAGTCTCATATCATAATCAGATAAGTAATTATTAAATCACCATTAATGAATCACGACAAATTGTTAAATAATCATTAATGCCTTGATGGATCAGTGAACACAGCATAAAGTGTAACGATAGATTTCATCTGATTCTCTGTAAGTATTCCGAGTAGTGCAGTAGTTTACTTCAGTGCTCCCGGTGACGACGTAAAGAATATCACGTCACCCTATGCTTAACCTGCACCAACTTTCTTTACCACCACGCTCCCATGACTTTCTAGTTCGCTTGTGCGACAATTATTTGACTTGTTTTCATCCTCAATAACTTTGTTTCATCATAGAGTGAGCGAAATGAAAATAATTGTATTCATTGTATTGTAATGACATTTTCGTCGGCCCCGTTACCTAAGTCGCTGGCCATCAATAATAAGAGTATGTCTTAATAGCAGAATTGAAACAAAAAAATGTCTTGTGAAATCGAGATTTATAATTTCTAGTATCGCGCAATCAAAACAAAATGCATTCTTTGATGCTTTTTCCATTATTTTTTCAATATTGATGTGTGCAGCAGCAAGAATGGCGACTATTGCGCGTGGACTTAGATGGATTACAGCCTGAATTTTTGACCTTTATTAAAATAAATCTTTTCCCGAACATTGTTCTCAAACAGAATCAATTGTGATGATCTGTTCGAATTAAGTTCTTGTGGTCACATGGACAACAGGATAACTTCGACCTAGAAACAGTGTAAAAATAATGCCACTGAAGGAGCCCGCCGCAGATGTGTCTTGCAGACCAAGTTGATAAAGTTAAAGTTATCGACATTGAATACCATGAGCTACAATAAAATATCAGGGAAAAGAAAGCTGCGACAATATTCAATTAGTTTATTAGGGTAAAGAATTGAAGAGTTAGTCTAACGAGACTAGAACTAATTTAAATCTAAGGATAAACATACTGGCCTAAACTTGGGCTCCTGGCAGCTTGACATCATTCCTTGTCAATGAGGTTACTTGGCATTGAAAGATATTTGGCACGGCCGAAAAAAGCTAACGGGTTATATTAATTTATTCGGAGGCATCACTTCATTGGGAAGGTCAATAGGTAACGCACGCACACAAAAAATTGAACCTGAAATGATCCTGGGAAGGAATTACGACCTCTTAAAGCTGAAAAGATTCTCCAGATGTTTACAACGACAAAGAAAAAAAAATTGCGTACATTTTTTGAGAGCAGATTGCACAGAAAGGCGACCGGACAGTTCATCGTTGATGGGTAATTGTTAAAGAGAAGAATGCAGGAAGTAACAATTTATCATCGCCCATTACAGATTTCAAAGACGTAATTGCTTGTGAAATTAGAGACGAAAAGGGATTGCACTTAGAAAAAAAACTTCTACCAAAACGGGATTGCCTTTTTTAAAAGTTATATATACCATGAGCAATCGCGAAGATCTGGCAAGTCGAGTTGTTCTTCATGAACATCATCATGAAGAACAAATATGCGAGTTATAATTAAGTAAAAACTACGGTAGCATTAAATGCTCTATCTTAAGAAATATCGTAAATATTGCCGTTCACGATGACTAGTTTGCTTAATAACTACAAATATTACGCATTACACCAAATCTCCCATTATTATTAACCGTACTGCAAAAAAAAAGACCATGAGAAATTCCTGTTGGTAATTGGGTAAAAATTTGATGTAAATGGGATTTAAAAGCTGCCATTAGTTCCTATGTCAGTGCTGACTGGCATCTTAGTCAGTTTTGTGCTTTATTATTGGAGGAAGAAATCGCACGTGCGATAATGGCCATCTAATTCTTTCCATTGAACAACATGCCGTTTTTAGATATTTTTTCGACGGTTTCAATTTCTTAGAAAAAGAAACAAAACTATTGTCTTAATGTCACAACAAAATTCAATTAGTTCAGTTACAGAGACAACCGAAATAAATTTAAAATATTGTTTGGCATTCATACCTTTACTCTAGTAGAAGCGCAAGGCAGGACTCCTAACGCGATATTAATGGGCATTTCTATACCGGTTCATGCAATCAATAGCAATGCGGTCAAGAACACAATAGTGCTTGAAACAGCCAACGACAATTGACATACCTCAGCAGACAAAGTTGTTCACCACAGTTAATCAGAAGAGGAGAAATGCGTCCACCAAAGAAAGGTCGATGAGAAAGATAATACGTTATTATAAGTAAATACGAGAGAATAATTCATCGTTCATCAGCTATGTTGGTGACGTCATGACAGATTGCGAAGACACTGATTTGCGTTCTCTAGGATATTGCAATAGGCCTTCAATATTAAATCCCTTCATTACTAGACGCCTGAAATGCAAGATGCTTTCATTAATAGATACCTTCAATATAATTCTAATAATTTCATCTACGATGCCAACGCATTGCACTGTTAAAAGATACCTCAGCAAACTTTTTGTAGCAATGCTACAGAATAAAAGAAACCAAACTGTTGAGTAATAGAGTCATGAATATGATTTTTGATGCTACCTAGTAACGATGAACGTTAGTTTTTAACGAGTTCCATCAATAAAAGATACGCCACAAATGTTGGTCTAAATAATACAATAACGCAATTTTGTTACATGCACAACTTTGTTAACTAGGCAACAAGTTTTTATCAATAACATAACACAACATAGTGATGGCGCTGAAGCGTAGGCCTGATGTGGCCTGTCGCCGACTCTTGAACTTTTCGTGACTTGTTCATAGATCTAAAATCGTGTCATTTGACCGGATCTTTTCATGACTGGCGATAGTTTGAAGAAGCTACTAGACTTCCACCGGGTTCGATATGGTGCTAGGCATTTCAATTCTGAACATATATTTTTCCATAGCTTTATCTAGTCTGTTCTTGAACGCGTTCATACTTGGAGCGCCAACGATGTCATCGGGGAGGCTGTTCCACATGTCGGTGATTCGAAGCGAGAAGAAATTTTGTCGCGTGGAGATAATAGATTATCTTTAGTTCCGCGTTCCGGAACAGAAATAATTTGAGGCTACGTGTGTTAAGTAAGGAAACACACGTACAAATTGGCTACATATAACCAATAGAATATTTAGTTACATTACTTAAGACAGCAATAATTTTAGTCAACAATAATGATGCAACAAGAGGTTAGTGAAGGCATCAAGGGAGGCACTTGGATTCATGAGCTAACTTCAGAGCAACCAATAAATCAATTCCAAAGCGAACGTCAAACAACGTAAATGTCTAAGAACGAATCAAGTCTTCAAAAGCTTGCTAATACGAGTAATTCTAAAGTAATTCTATGATTATTTATATATGGTCTAACATCCCTTCTTTCATGAGCTCATAAAAAGAATTATTTCATGGCAATTCTATAATAAATATGATAACGAGTTTCCCGTTTATTATTACCTTCGTGAGCTCAGTAACAGAAGTAATTCCATAGCAATTCTATAATTATTTCATTATAAACTAGTTTGCCGTTTGGTATCAATATTGCAGAATAGAAATATTCTTATATCTTGAGTCTCTCTGGGCAACGAATGAGTGGCGTATAAACCAGAACTACATCCTTATTCCTGAGCTATTACATATAAAACAAAACTTATACTTCTAATTACCCCAAGTAAACTAATAACTAAAATTGTTGCATCCATAAAAACTTCCCATAAATGAACGAAAACATTGAACGAAATCAACACCAAAACATGCGACCGTAAATATACGACTAACGATAACTACGAACGGAACGAGAAGCACAATATAGAAGAAAGCGACACATGAGTAAACGACAATCGTGGAACATCGAAAATTCAATTATCAATATTGAGAAGTTTTTAAACGGCCAGATGAGGTTGAAACATCAATTCAATCAGATTAGGTATCTATTAGGATTTTCATAAGAAAAAAAAATAATTAAATATACGTTTATCCGTCAATAGTACTTGGTGGAACCAAGCAGTTTATTTAAAGAAAAAAATAATGAGTAACTAGAACTCTTGTGATGAAGAACAGCGATTATTACCCTCAATTTCGGTAAGTTTATGCACACAGAGGAATGAGGGAGACTTTGTCCAAATAGCGATGCACTAATTGCACTAGTAAGGGTGGTCCGCCGTTTTGCCCGATACAAAGGCGTATTAGTACTACCAAGTAGAGGTACTTGTAGTACTAATGTAATAGAGGTACTTGTAGAAGTGTGTCGTTATTTGAACAATATGACACCTTAATTTGTCTGAGTGTATGTTGCTATTATTCAGACCAAGCAGGTAACGGCATTTGTAACGGAATATCAACTTGTTAAACTAACACTAAACTTTCCATCAGATCAATAAGCGAGCTCATCGCTCTATTGTTGCCAGGAGTCTTTTTTTGTATCCCACCATTTGACACGAGATAATTAACACAAGCGTAAACACTATCAAAACAAAAACGAATTCACTCAATTCTCCAATTGCCTATTTGTCACTACAAATCTTCCAAGCTTCCATTTCAATGATAAGTTTTAGTCGTCAAATCAACTACATATCATAACGCATTAACTGGAGACTCTTTACAAAGAAGTTAGAATATATTGATCATATCTCAAAATTACTCGAACTATAGAACGCGCATTAACCCTGACCTGCAGCGTATGCCTCTACTAATTACTCACAATTATTGGCGAGCGCTAACGTGAAATTAAAAAGTACAATAAAATTACGTCGCATATAAATGGGAAAGCTGCAGAAAAAATCACAACCACAACAGCACATAGGTTACTGAATTATACCTCAATGATATAAAGCTGAGATTCTTACTCTGAGAAAAGCAATGACTAAAGTAAGCTGCGTTGTACGTTCGTATATTTGGTGAGACAAAGCATGCTAGACACGTAAGCCAGAATACCCTAAATCATTACTGATGTAAGTCAAAATACCCTAAATCAGCCGTGACATATCACTGAAAGTGCCCTAAATCAGCCCTGACATGTCAGTCAAATACCTTTGCCTTATTTATCTTGCACACATGCGTCAATTACAGCAAAGTAACACAGGTTATAGCAGATCATAGTGACCAGATTTTGCCTCGTGCACAGATGTACGTGGAAAAGTAGACGGTAGAACTCAACAATATTTTGAGAGATCCATGGCCTATGTCTTGGCCATGGGCCTATGTCTTCAACGCCGACACTTCTATTCTATTCTATACACTTGAACACGTTTATTAACGTCACAAAATCATGAGCCTGTAAGTCAAAGTGATTATTTTTGGCCATTCGCTTACTAATAATAATCGGAGATGTCGTTGATATCGACCATTCACACACAATAAGCTTGCATCAAGACTTGGATTGGTACATTTATGCTGCACGAACGGCATCAAATAAAAACTTTTAGTTTCGACAACTGCTGGGAAATGTTTCGTACAGGGAAAAATACCAGGTAGGAATTCAAAACGCTTCAGCAAAAGATTTGAGCAGATGAATCATATAGTGCAAAACAAGAGAGAAATAAATATTAAGTGGACATTTGGGACTTCACACGTTACGACGTATTCATTATTTGCGACATGACTTCAACATATCAAGACATAAAAACCTCGGCCTCACAACAAGTCCCAACGTAACATTGGTTTTACGAGCAAAACAATTCCATTATGAGCAAATTCATACAAATGTACTTTTAGAATCTTCAAGAATTCCTAGCAATTATGCAACTTTCTTTGTCTTAAACTATACATGAGCAGTCAAAATCAGGCATTCCATCTTCAAATACAACAAAGTTCCTTAAACACCACGAAACTAACTTCAAAGACGAAACAAATTTCAGATGCAAGCGGCACATCTCGAGCCACAAAAGTTGTGAGAAGAGACAAGAAGAATCCTAACTGCACGGAGCAGCCGTCCTACGTAGATTACTTAATGGGTAAATACCTCATATCCTGACTGACATTACCCCATACAGGTGATATAACCCCGTTTGAGAATTACCCCCATTATTACCTCATATTATGCGTTGTACGTTAGCTCATTTGGGATAATATAACCTCGTTTGACAACCATGACAATGGGCAAACAACCAATAACTCCACGGGGTAATATAACCCCGTTCGGGAACCATGACCCTGGTGTCACACCCCAGCAAACCGAAGATGGTGAGAAAGAAACCGAAGATCGTCGGGCAGAAACCAGCAGCAGAAGAGCAGGTCGGAGACCTCACTGCAGGGAGCAGCCGCCCTCGGGGTCCTCGCCTTTGCGCATGAGCTGCTGCTGGAGTTTGCGACGCCGTTTCAACGCCTCTACGTAAACCTCTCGGTTGAACTGGCCCGCGTTCAGAGGTACGCTGTTCAAAGATAGTAAATAATTAAAAATTGTACACATTTACTGTCAGTAAATATACTATGAAAGATATTCAAATGTCCGTAAATCTGTCAGCCAATAACTGACGACTTTCAAAACTAAACCCACCAGTCAAACAGTCAAAAACAAAAATTCTCTTGCTACGTGTACTTGAACACGTACTTGTACTTGAGATCCAGCCCCAAAACAATAAAATGAGTAAATTTGAAAAGATTTTCAAAATATTCTTACCGATCACTGGAGGTTTTATAGACACAGGTAATAATTTTAAAGTCACTTTCTCAAGACTACTAAGGAAGAACATGTGTTAAAGGGTTGCCAGATGTTCAGTGCTAATGTCAAAGAAGCGAAAAATGTCGCTTGTGATAATTCGTATTGTGAGGTGACATTGTGACAACTGTCAGGAACTGTTTTCCAGAGGATATTGCGTATAATATCGACCAGTGGATATTATGTCCCCGACTACATATTGTATGTTATTGTAATCAAATAATATATCGTCAGCACCAAACTGTCAGTAAGAGGTATCTAACAAAGACGTCATGCATGTGGACAAGGCGTGGTGTGCGTGGACAAAGGCATGGTGCGTATGAACAAAGGCGTGGTGCGGGTGAACAAAGGCGTGGTGTGTGTGAATAAAGGCGTTGTGCGTGTGAACAAAGGCGTTGTGCGTGTGAACAAAGGCGTGGTGCGGGTGAACAAAGGCGTGGTGTGTGTGAATAAAGGCGTTGTGCGTGTGAACAAAGGCGTGGTGCGGGTGAACAAAGGCTTGGTGTGTGTGAATAAAGGCGTTGTGCGTGTGAACAAAGACGTGGTGTGTGAACAAAGGCTTGGTGTGTGTGTGAATAAAGGCGTTGTGCGTGTGAACAAAGGCGTTGTGCATGTGAACAAAGGCGTGGTGTGTGAACAAAGGCGTTGTGCGTGTGAACAAAGACGTGGTGTGAGAACAAAGGCGTGGTGCGTGAACAAAGGCGTGGTGCGTGTAAACAAAGGCGTGGTGCGTGTAAACAAAGGCGTGGTGCGTGTAAACAAAGGCGTGGTGCGTGTGAACAAAGGCGTGTTACGGGTGGACAAAGGCGTAGTGCATGAGGACTGACTCGTCTTTGCCAGGTCTGATCTTGCAGCGGTAGAGACCCCAGACGGGCTTGTGGTCTGAAGACCGGAACATGGGGCTACTGTCGTACTCCAGGCAGCTGATGGACGACCTCGGCGACTGTAGGCATGTAAAACGACCTTTTTAGCTAGTATTAATCCTGTCAATAGTTCAATGGCTTTAACCCTACTTGAGTACTCATGCCAATAGTTCAATCATTTAACCATACAGTGGACGCGTGCTAAAAACTGACTAGATTAGTGGCGTTTCGGTCAGTTTCGCTACGGTCGATTTTCGTACGCATGGATTATTACCTACATATGTATCCGCAGAAAAGATAAATGACACCTTGAAGAAGTAATAATAACATGACGAATGTCTCGTTCACACATCAATTGAAACGTTGTACTTCTACCAGTTCAGGACTGAGCACAAAAATGTTAATAACATGGAGAATATTGCAAAATATGAGTAATAGTAACATAATAAGGACCTTGAAAAGAATCCTGTCAGTGTAGGAGGGCACACGCTGCTTGCTGGATGAGTCGTAGCTGTCAGTGCCAGGGTCGAACTTAAACGTCGGAGCAAAGGTGATCTCGCCTTCCTCAAAATCGATCAAGGTTTCCCCTGAGAAGGAAATAACCTATGAAGTAGTATTATACAATAGAAAAATTAAAACACCGGTATTTTATTCCTAATTATCTACGGTACTTATATAATTGTAGTTAGAAATCGGCTTGTGCAAGAAGGGATAAAAATAGAGAGGATTACTCCAAAATAATTCACAATGCGATTGTCATCCTCACAGAAAATCGTACACAAATTTAGTGATGACTACGTACAACATAAACCGCTACCGATGATACTATGCCATCCAAAACATGGTTATCATCGTTAGTAGTGTTAACTGAATAGTAATATTAACTCAGCAGATGAGAGCCTTACTGCAAAAATCTTGGTACAATTTTCCTAGCTAACTAGTAATATACCCGTAACTGGCACGTGAGTAGGTACTTTAGTTGAGACATTAGTGTACCATTTACGTGGGTAACTATTTATATTATCAGTCTGCTTAAATCGCCACTTCACAAGAAATTTAAAAGCAAAGAAAATGCCAAGTAAATTCACAATATCGATGTTGAAAACGTTTCGGAGTCCAGCTCTATCGTTAGTTCGACACTCTAAAAAATGAATACAATCATTATAAACTTGTAATTAATTATAATTATAATAAATCATTTATTGGTAAGTAGTACTAATTACGAGCAGGTGCGGACCTTTCTTCCTGGCGCAGGTGAGCTGGTCCCACTGCAGCAGGTGGGGCACCGTGCCAGGCTCGTGCACGCCCCCACTCAGCTTCTCGAGGACGTGGTCGCGGTTGGCGACAAGACGGAAGTTCAGGTCACCCAGCCAGAACACGCAGTCAAAGCGCTTCGTCGCGTCTGAAATGCATCACATCAACATTTACTGAGCAAGCAATGCATTAAATAAGCTCTCATTGAACCTGCAATGCTCTGAGTGAACTCTCAATGAGCCTACAGTACATAAAATAAGCTCTCAATGAGCCTGCAATGCTTTGAGTGAACTCTCAATGAGCCTACAGTACATAAAATAAGCTCTCAATGAACCCGCAATGCTTTGAGTGAACTCTCAATGAGCCTACAGTGCATTAAATAAGCTCTCAATGAACCTGCAATGCTCTGAGTGAACTCTCAATGAGCCTACAGTGGATTAAATAAGCTCTCAATGAGCCTGCAATGCTCTGAGTGAACTCTCAATGAGCCTACAATGCATTAAATAAATACTAAAAAAGCCTGCTGCAGTGATTGTACCCGGAATGAGCCTGCACTGGTGGGTTTGCAATAAAAGGTAAAGGTAAAATGAAGCACTACTAAGAGAAGTGTGAAAAAATTCAAAGAACTGCAGCAATAATGACGAAAGTGTGATAATTTCTATTCAAATGACGCACTTATCAGTGGAGTTGATCACAGATCAGTGAGATGTGAAGAGAACGGAAATGCCAAGAAAAGTATAAAAAAGATGACAAGGTGACAGCACCTTTGTGCTTGTGTTTGACGGGTAGCGTGCGCGGCAGGTCGAGCGCGTGCGAGATGTTCTTGATGTTCTGGATGCGCTGCGCGCATTTCTCCTCGTGGGCAAACAGGTGCGAGTTTATGAATAAGAATTTCGTACCTGTAACAAATACAATTTTTCAAGTCACGTGAGTTCGATTTTCATCTAAATAGTTAAACTGTCCAGTAAACGCTTTACTCCATAGGTTTAATTCATCATACAAATAGATTTCCACAATAAAATATGATTTTCAACCAAGTAAAATAACTAAAATAAATGTTTTGGGATGGGTTATTATTGCACATTATCGAGTTGATTTGTTCATTTTTTAGGTGATAGACAAGCGCTAGACATCATATAAATCCATTATAATGATTGAACAAAACTCACCAAAAAACTGGAAAGCAATGGCGGTGGCTCCTTTTGTTTTAAAATATGTGCCTGGACGCAAGCTGTGATAGCCTTCCTCCGGAGCTGTGGAACGATCAAAACGGATTAATAACATAACATGTAGGTTTAAAGAATTACTCAACTTTATGCCGTTACAAAGCAATCCTACCCACTGGATCGTAATCATACTACTTTCGAAACAAATAAAAATAAACAAATGCTAATCAGCTTTATGAAACTCTTTGTCAGAGTCCGGCTAACATCAAATTACCAATTGAGCTATAATATTTTGGTACGAAATGCTTTGGTCACTTCAGAGGAGTATTTCGTAACACCCGTACCAACAAAACCATGACCACCTCAAATTGGTGTAAAGTTTCATTCGTGAACACAACATCCGTAGTTGCACAGTACCGGTACCTCTAAACAAGTCAGTTCTATACCCTCAGCTTAGGGTGCATCATTTTCTTTCATCACTTTCACAAGTAGGCACATTACTTTCAACGGTGTGGCGTATTAATTTCTTAAAGTCGGGGCAACACTTGCACACGTCTTGTACACTTCATTCGTCGATAGCTCAAAAATAAAGGAACCCAGATTATTTTACGCTACATTGACTTTGATGAGCGTAGACCCCCCGCTACTAGGTACACTCATTCGCTACACTTAATGCTCTTTCACGCTGAAAGGCACTCCTCGCAACTATGTACTCCCTTGCTATTATTTACACTGTTCCACTACTACGTATGTATTCCTTCGCAACATGATCCATTCCCACGCTACTGAGTACAGTACACTATCCCGCTACTAGGTACACTATCTCGCTATTATGAACGAACTCGCTTTTATATGCTACGACGTACTTGTGAAGAACCAGATGAGGTCGCGCCTGACGAAGATGTTCAGATGTAGGATGCCGAGAGCTGCGGACGTGAGCAGCACGTGTTGCTGACCTACGCAGGACTGAAGTCGAACCTGCAGGAATTGTGCATCTCAGAATGTGGTACAAATGCTATGCAGGGTTTGAAGACTGAGGAGTGAAGAATGGAATGAATGGAGTACAAGAGGGTTAAAGAAAATAGTTAGAATGCATGATGATTAGAAGGACATCGAAAATTGAGGAGTAAAGGAGAGAAACAGAATGACACCCAAATTTTTGAATGCTTGGATTAGTATTCAAGTTCAAACAAAACTCCATAAGAGATCATGGTCCATGGGAACGAATGTGTGATGATCATGTAAGAAGCTAAGTAGATTAGAAACCATAGTTATACAACTAAAATTAAATTTAAAACAGTTAAAAATAAATTCCGATTGGATAATTTCTCCATTTATGAGGAAAGTGACGACCTACCTCCCAGGCTCTTCTCTCAACGCCGGACTCTTGCGTGCCCACGACGTAGATGTGAGGAACCTCAGCCAGCTCCCGTCCCAGCTGCAGGTGGTCCAGGGCGGCAGGGGGCTCCTGTGTGAGCTTGGTATTATACACATGTATATTTTGTATGGAAGCGATATGGAAGTGATAAACAGTAATGCCAAGCTTCATCAAAAGAAGACAGTTGTCATTGCAAAAATGTGCGTTTAACAGCAGATATTTTAAGTGGACGTTGGATCTGCGCAGATGACTTGTGGCGACGAGCGTCTGGGTAGAGAAACTGTCCAATATTCACTTGTGCATTTATTTGCTGAGCCGCGATGTTTAAGAGTAGTTTATATGCAAAACCCATACAATAAAAAAGATCAAGGAGGCTCAACACTACGGCTACTCCCCACAAAAACAGGGGTGTACAACAAAAGTAAATTAACTAAACACAAAATGAATGCATGAAATAGACAAAATGCAGAAAACAGAAACAGGATGCAAAAGGAAGCAGGTAAGTAGGAACAAATTTATTTATAGTTCTAGTATATAACAGACCTAATAGAAGCAGGATCTAAGCGGTCACCCACCTTTCCGTTCATGTTCCAGGTGGCGATGAAGACGGTGATGTCGCGGTCTGGCAGGACGCTGTCCAGCTCCCGGGGCCCTAAGAGGAAGTCCAGGCCTCCATACAGGTAACTCCTGCAACACAAACCCATCTTAATACATGCTCGGACGATAACTATTATTACATTTTTAACTCGAATTGCAGCATTAAAATACGTAAATACTTGCTCACACGGTACGTATTATTAAATTGAATTGCAGCATTAAAATACGTAATTAAGCTCTGAAAAGATTGGCCTTGATACAAGTAACATGTGTAGGATAAACGCAAGTGTTATCTGTAGCTATCAATGCCAGTATGACTCGACTCGTCAGTGACATAATTACTGAGATCCAACTTCCACTATTAATTAAATTCAGTAGTATCGCTATATATGTACATGCCGGTACGACTCATTACATCATTGGTTCAATTATTCAGAAAAGATTTAGTGATACCACAGCACACAAAAGACGATCCGCTCATAGAACCGTAAGACCCAACCGTAAGAGACAACCGTAAGACAAGACCGTAAACCAAACCAGTCTACTAAGCCCACCTCGCCTACCAAGCCAAACAACCTAATAATAATTTATTCACTCCATTAATACCAAATTGCAACAATAATTTGCATTAACACACAATTTAATCAATGTGTGGTATGGTAACTAGTGGTACGGTAATTATTAATGGTGCATGCTAATGGTACATGCAGCACCATTACATTAAAATGCACTGCATCAGTACTGAAACACATACAAAATTACCATGCAATTCCTAAAAATTAGCATGCAAATCCTAAAAATTAGCATGCAAATCCTAAAAATTAGCATGCAATTCCTAAAAATTAGCATGCAAATCCTAAAAATTAGCATGCAATTCCTAAAAATTAGCATGCAAATCCTAAAAATTAGCATGCAAATCCTAAAAATTAGCATGCAAATCCTAAAAATTAGCATGCAAATCCTAAAAATTAGCATACAAATCCTAAAAATTAGCATGCAAATCCTAAAAATTAGCATACAAATCCTAAAAATTAGCATACAAATCCTAAAAATTAGTATACAAATCCTAAAAATTAGCATGCAAATCCTAAAAATTAGCATACAAATCCTAAAAATTAGCATGCAAATCCTAAAAATTAGCATACAAATCCTAAAAATTAGCATACAAATCCTAAAAATTAGCATGCAAATCCTAAAAATTAGCATTCAAATCGTAAGATACATCTTAAGATTATAGTTGGCCTAAACAAAGCACCTGGCGCGCATCTCTGAGGTGTTGATGGCACCCAAGATGGCGGCGGTGGCAGAGCTGGTGGCAGGTTCCTCATATTCTTCCTGGTCGTCCTGCAGGTCCAGACGGTCCAGCGACCCAGACGGGCTCACCAGCAGGGGACTCTGGCAGGGGGAGTCGCTGGGGGTGATCGTGCCGCTCGTACTGGCCACCATCGTGCCTGAAGTCCAGTCAATTAATTAAATGAGGTACAGGGAGTTAAATAAAAAAATATAACTCTGTACTCACTGCAGTGAGTGACAGAGAGCGCATTTTCTCGTCGACGAAAACGTGACGTCACGGACGGACAGACAGACGGACAGACGGACATGGCGAGAACAACAGCGCCTTTTTCCATAAATGAGAAAATGCGCTAAAAAGTGCTAAAATTGTTGAAATTAAATTAATATTTGCTATGCTTGCAGTGGAGCCAATTAATTAATTGAATAATAGAATTGTATCGCTGGTATTGAAAATAATTAAGCCGGCAGGATGGCCCAATTATCCTAATAAAATTAATGCTGTAAGAAAATTAACGTTACTGGTGTCATAGGTTATATTGCAGTGAACCATAACTCAGCACGCGACTATCGTTCTATACCTTATCAGCAAACCGCACTTCGTGACGTATGTGGGTCACAATTACACGTCTCGGCTCATCCTTTATAGCCTTTAATAATTAACGAACTACAAATATATCCGGGGTAAAGAGGGTAAACTTTCTGAAGTGAACCATGCAGACAGAGCTCTCCTCATGATATTATTTGAATATCAGAAACGAACAGTCAGAGTGGCAGTATAGTTTAGAAGGCTCTGCATGACCATACTGGGCACATGGAGCAGACTGATTGTTCGGGAATTGTTTGCAATAAATATTTTAAATAAGTATTGTAATCAAATAATGTCATGATAATTTGTATCATGATTATTTATAGGACAGCATGGAGTCTGACCTATGGCGGCAGCCACGCCTGGCAGAGATGCCGCGCCACCGCTGCCCCAGGACTGCGGGCGACCCGTGCGCTCTAGGCCCGCCTGCGTACATTTAATTATCATTATATTCATTATAATTACATTAATTATAATTACATTAATTATAATTATATCAATTATAATTCAATAATAACATACTGAACAAGTCCGTCTGCGGGACACCGGGTGATACACAAACTTGGTAACATTAAAATTATTGTAAAGGAATACCTAAAATGGAAATTAGTGGATATATTTATACATTACTGAGAACTATGAAAATTATTAATGAATTTTATTTGAAAATAAATTATTTATAATTTAGAGACACTACAAATTAGTGGTAAATTTTAATGAAATATTAAGACAAGGTAAGCTCATATCCACCTGAGGGAGATGAACTATTAATTAAATTAAAGAAATCCTAAACTTGATTATCGACACGATCTCAAACGGAAAAAATGAAAAACAGGACAAGAAAAAAACGAAAAAAAAATCGACATAAATCAATGAAAATTGAGAGGATATAAATCAGTGCCTGCACATAGACTATAGGGTCCCTGTATATACTGTATAAGTTATTTTCACTGTATCAAGCAATTCCAATGTCCAATAGTCACTTTCCATTGAATAGAAAATTATGCTTGCGTTCATCAACAAGGAAACTAACTAAAATAACTCCTTCAGAAAGCTGTCTTAGAAAACATGGCCTACAAATGAAAATGAAAATTTCGTAGAAAAGAACGCTAAAACGTGTCATGGTCTTTGGTCGAATTGGACGAGATTCTATAACAAGCCAAAAAATACTTTATCCAAGATACGTGCCTAATTCAAAAATACTAATAACGGAATGGGATATGAACAAATGCATTTATGTGCAATTATAATAATTAATAATTAAAATATCGTAGAATTGTTGTTAAGCATTCAAATGAAAAATGTTCACTAAATCTCAAGGTAACACCCCCGGTAATAATCAAGCCAGTTAAGTGCAGAGCAGCTACAAGCATTTTATGGAAAACCACCCAGTTAATAAGAGTTAATTTTGGAATAAGATCTGGTAAAATGCTTTTACATAATGAAAGGATTTTATACAATGGTTTTTAAAGAGATTATTTAATGATTGATGAAATGATTTAACAGAATTAAGTACCCGAGACTTTTTGTCACATATTAATTAAAAAGTTTGTAGTCCATAGAATGAGTCCATCTTAATGAAATAATTAACAATTAAATTAATTATAATTAAATTATTAATTAACAAGTGCATATGGTGCACATGCACTCAACTCAAGTGCACGCATGCATTTCAAGTGACAGAACGAACCGAATAAACGTTCATCTGAAGAGTAGGCATTCTATTTAATAATTTTACTGAATTTGAATTTCATAAAATCCTAAGTGCCTCTGTATAAATATACTTGTCTAGTATAAATCGTGTAGGTGACATAAGTTCTTTATTAGTGAAGCAGAGACCTTATTTTGAAACGTGATTAAACTCACTTGGCTCAAAGATGACTTCGAGCGATAAAGTGCCTCAGAAATCGACTTTAATCAAGATCCAACCAATAAGTTGTTTACTCTTCAAATCAAGATTATCTTAAGTGAGTGCAACGTTCGTTTGATAAATTTTTCACTAACTCTCATACCAGTGAGGCTGGAGACAATCATTGAACAAATATTTCGTCACAAACCTTTTTATTTCTCAGTACAGAAGGCATTTCTTGGCCAGACGCAGGTAAGGCGGCGCTGCTTTGCTGACCAGTACTGGGCGGTGAACCCATACCAGGTTGGGGCTCGGGAGCGATGCCATTAACTTTCTTATGAAGAAACAGTTGAGCATTTCTGTTTCTGTTGACCCGATCTTTGCGATTGGGTCGTGACTCTTTAGGTCGTAACTTAACTTCCCATTCATTGGTGTTATCTTCAAGAGATAAAAGGCTGCCATGCTTGGCAGACTGAGCGTCGGAGGTAACAGGATCTCGTGCCGTGACCGGGGGAGACGAGCTGCAACGTACAGCGCGTCTCTTTGCCGGTGACGTGACAGTGTCGGGCTTTGGTCTATGCTTCGGGGAAAATGTTATATCGTTAATACTAGATTTTTCTGACTTATTATCATGACTCGAACTTCTGGAGCTCTCGTCGTTGAGTGCGGAGCTGAAACAAGACATAACAGAATCCTGAGAGTTCCCTGAAGATGAAGAACCTAAAGCCCTATGCACCACAGTCGCTCGTCCCGATGAATTGGAAGATACTAGAGAACTTTGAATTGAAGCTGATGCACATGCAGATGAACTTAAAGATTGGTCAGATGAAGCCAGTTCTTTAGAAGACGATATGCTGATCGAGGCCTCGCACGTCTGAGTATTCGCAGTGCTGCTGATATGCCTACGCGAGTCACGAAAAGCTAAGCTCCTTGACACCGAAGGGCTCGGCTGCGTACAGGCACAGCGGTCAAGTTGGGCCATCAGCAATGGCAGACTAGCCGACGACGAGCTGGCTGACTTCAGAGGACTGGCAGACTTGGACGGAGTGCTGTTGCAGGTAGAGCCAGAGCTGTTCTGGCAGGCAGAAGGAGTGCTGTTCGAGCTATTCTGACTGACAGAGGCAGCGCTGTCAGCCTCACTCTGAGGGGAGCTTGTGTCCAGAGACACGCTGGACGAGTTCTCCCTGCTGGAGTGAACTGAACTGCTTGGAGAAACGCTGCCTCCTCGCAGCCGTTGCAAAGTCTCACCAAGACCTTTCTTCTTCTTGCGTAATTTAGTTTTCTTCTCACTAAAATTAAATTTAGTTTGGCCAGTAGTAACAGGAAACTCGTTATAAGCTAAGGGAGATTTAGGAAGCAAAACCAGTTGATCACCATTAATATCGGACACAATAAACCTGCCATTGAGCCCAGAACCACACAAGTTAGATGCAAGAAAAGCTTTGTCTTTCCTGGGTGAGCATTTATCTTTGTTGAAGTGCGAGCGTGGAAGAGGAACTGGGGGATAGGAAACAGGCATGTTTGAGGGGGGAATAGCCCCAGCCCTGGTGGAACTGTTGCGATAACTGCCACTCTGAGGGTAGGGGCCACTCTGAGGGTAGGTGCCACTCTGAGGGGAGGCGCCACTTGCCACATTGAGGGAGCCAGGACTGCCTGACGCAGGCGGTGAAGATGACAGGACGGGGCTGCATGACCGAGCTGGACTCACCGAGCCCGGCGTGTGGCGACCTCCCTGTACACGCGTGTTAATAGCTAATGTGTAGTAACTAACAAGACTTAACACTGAACTAGCATCAATGCTAACCTAAGATAACTAACGTGAAACTAAGTTGTAATAACTGGCATGCACTTGAGTATTATAACTGGAGCAAAAAGAATAAACTTAACTAATGGGCCGCTAAAGTGTAATAAATAGGACCAGCCTATTAAATAATGACTGGAAAAATAAATCATGGATAAAACACAGCCACTACGCACGTACACCAAAATGGGGCAAAACACTGCAATAGTAGTACTATAATTATTGAGAAACAGTTACGGAAAAAGATTCTCAGCAGATAACATTTCTTTATGTTTGTCTTGCTGGTGAAACTATAATTAGACTCTTAAGAAGAGAAATCCAGAAATTATTTCCGTATTTCTGAATTGACTATCACCGCACCCAAGCAGGTGAAGAGAAATAGTGAAATTTTCAATAGGTTTAAAAAAAAACAACTCCTGTGCTCTACATCAGCACACTAATACTGATATTTTTTTACGTTCAGCTTCTCGGGTTAATATTAGTAGGTACCTATTGTTATTTTAGTTTCTATTAATATTTAAGTGGATTAGGCTATGTCTGATCAATAGACACCCAGAAAGTCTGTGGTCCCACTTATACACATACCTCTTCAAGCGCGGTACCGGCGTTGGCAGGGACCACACAGAGGTTGTGTACCGCAGAGAAGGCTTCACTGAGCATGTTCAGTGAGCTCGAGCGCAGCAGCTGAGTGGGCACTGTGAGCTCTTTTGCTGAGCCGGGGGCGGCGGTGGCATAACTCCCACTCAGTCGACGTCTGCTGCTCTGCCTCCTGCTGGAGTCTGTGGAGTAATGAAGGAGTCAGTCAATGAAGTCTTGGCGCAATGCTTGCTGATGGAGTCTGAGGAGTAATGAAGAGTCAGTCCATTCTCAATATTGAGTCATTCAACATTGTCTTGGCGTAACGCTGGCTGCTGGAGTCTGTGAAGTAATGAATGAGTCAGTCAACAACATCATGCAACCAGGATGTTAAATTTAAAAATATATATCATTAAAAATAATATTGTTAAAATATACACGTATTCCTAAATTAATAATCACTGAAACAATATCTGGGGTTATATCCAAAAAGGAAAAGGGGCAAAACAATACACAAAATTGTGCCGGAAAAAACAATTTTGATAGCAATGAAATTAGTGAATTAATTGTAAAGTTTCTGATGACGGAACTGTAGGATTATTAGGAAACATAATTTGCACTTCCAAAGGATTTTTTGGAGACAATTCAATGTTGGAGGCTCAATTTAGGTCCTTGTTGTGAACTAGTCAGATGCAAGTTTCTTCCCAGTGCTGAAAGAGAAACATAAAGATGTTCTGACCTGAAGTGTGGTCAGCCTTTGACTCGCTGAGTCGTATGACAGGAGAGTGGCGGTCTGGAGAAGCATGTGCGCTGTTGCTTGTGCGGCCCAGGAAACGTCGGATGCTGCCGATGTGTCGGTTCAACAACCCAGTTGACTCCAACTCTGGATCACAGTTTAATAATCAGAACATCAACTAAGAAGAAAAAAAAATTTAGTTTAGTTGAAGAGAACCAAATAATTCAAGGGAATCTACTGTCTAAAATTATCAATTAAATCCAGACAATATTGCTTTCACACATGAAACAATTTTGGCACAAATGTTTTGGCCATCATTCACAAACAAAACACAGTTAAAATCAGCAGCAAATTTCATGCAATGATAAGTTAAACTCAAATCAAATGAATTTCAAATCCTTTTTGTAATAATAATGCAAAATGAAAAAAAAATGAATAAGCTTAATATAAAAAATTTACACTGGAAATTGTGCTCTGTAGAACATGTAATGTTCTTGCTTACATGAAGCACATCCCACACCAGCATCCAGCACAACACAAAAAAATTTTCATGCCACAAACAATAACTTTTCAGTGCATAATTCCTAATTTTACCCTAAAAAATAATTACTATGAAAAATGATTAAAACGGTATGCATAAAAAAAATGGTATTTGAAAGTTAAAGTCGTTCAAGAAGTCTATAATGCATCCATATACAATACATTATGAGCTTTCATGATTGATAAGTTGTATTTTCAAAAAATTGATTATAAAAGTAATGAAACCTTTTAGTATTTATAATTGCAATATCCATTCCCTATCAATAAATATGGATAATTTTTCATTATTTATAATCATTACTGTGTATATATAAAGTTTGTGTGATACAACCAGAACTACAAGTGTTACATGCACACATTAGATGGTGTTTGCTTCATGGCTAGGAAAGTTGTGCTCATACGGTATATAAATAAGAGAACATGTCGATTACAAAAAATAATTTCATAACTTGAGAAGAATAATTTGAAATGTGGCTAAAGTAAGATAGGTAATTGGAAGGGCCCTGTTTTTGGTGAAACAAAATAAGTTTTCTTGGCAAGTGTCATCTTTTGCTATTACTAGTAGAATTTTAGCAATAAATGCAAAGAAAGATAAATAGGTATACTACCTGTAGCTCTACTGCAGTTGAGATGAGCATAATCAACTAAATCCCCAAGGCTGTGAACACCAGGAAATGACAGCTGGTCCTTGTTCTCACATTTGTTTTCATTAATTATCTTGTCAAAGGAAGTTTTCTTAGCAGCTTTTGCACTCAGTGAAGCTATACTGTGAGAGTTGCTGTAGCTCTCACTGCTTGTCTCCATATCAAAACTCTCATCAAAACTGGCCAAAGGAGCATTGCTTAGTCTTGAGTTTTGTCCTGAAATCTTGGGGAACACCAAGTTTGGGTCTGGCTCTTCAAGAAAAAATTTCACGGATGAACTTTCTTTCCTAAAATTTTCAGATCTCTCATTTTTACTGATAGTAGCGCTAAATGTTGCATCATTTATTTGTTCACTGGCATAACCAGACTCTAGCTGAGCCCCTGCTTTGTGCTGATGAAGCTCCACATGTCCACAAACCATTTGTTCCGAAGATGCTGATTCCATTACAGTTTCAGTGGAAACAAAATTTGAGCTCAGTGACTTATTTGTGGGAATCAAAACTTTTGTACTGATGACATTTTTGGTTGCGAGCATCTCAGGAGTAGTTTTAAAATTTGAACGAGGAGGTTTGATTGGAGGATCATGGGCATTGCTGCGGTGAGAAGTGCAAGCAGTCTTGGCCAAGGTGAGGGAGGAGGGAGGGAGTGCAGGGTTTGTGAACACACAAGCTGTACAAATAAATTCATTCAATGAATAAACTAATCAGATTAGGTAGTTCCATTTCATACAACCAATAAAGAACATGCAACATGACTTTTATTGAATTGTTATAAATCAATGAAAATTGTCATGTGGCAACCTCAAGATTGTAAGAAAACATTTTATTAACAATTTATAAACACACTTAGTATATGGTTAAAAAAGAACACCAATAAAACAAACAACATTTTTTGTTTGCAGCATTAAAAACACAACACATGGTTATGTACCTATGTGTACACTGTTCAACAATATACTTATGAACTGGTCAATATGAAAAGATAAAGGACAAACTTGATCAATAAAAAATTTGACGTGATACTGGGCAACACAAAATTTCATCGAGTGGATGAAATATGATGGCCTAAATAAAAATAGCAGTTACTTTCAAATCACTATTCTGTGTGAACATTAAATAATATTGTCCACAAGCATCATGAGATAATAACAATCTTGATTAGGCTGGTATAGGTATATGGCTGAATAAACTTATTTGTTGTTGTTATTATGGGGATAATTTACTTTTAAGGACTAACAATCAAGGTAAAGAGTACCTACCTACAATGGCAGTCTTTTTGTTTTGAAACATTGTTAAAAATGACTACCATGCTACTTCAAAACCTGCTTATTTCAACTAAATAAAAGCAAGTCTAAGTTTATACTGCAATCAACCATTAATACATTCACATACCTCATACAATAAAGATATAAATCGTGGACAAAATTTGATGCAAGATCACAAAAATAATGAAAATATCACAAAATTGTTGAGCAAGATCACAAAAATAATGAAACAATCACAACATTTTTGAGAACATTACTAAGATAATAACAAATCACTTCACCTTTAGGTTTGGGAGCTTTATTCTGTGAGCTGCCAGTAAATTGAGAGAAGGTATTCTCTGATTCTGAGATGTTGCCCGTGCTGCTAGAGAGGCTTCGAGTCTTGGCAAGACGAGCTAAGCCAACTTTGTTAGGTCGACACGCAGAGCTAGAAAATGCCTTTAATGATGTAAAATTCTGTGTTAATTATTCATGGTTACGTTTTTTCAAGAAAATAGAATTTGTCCAAGCATACCAGCTTGCAGCATAAGTATATTTTAGGATTCATACTATACTATTCAATTGATGATTATTATCAACACTTATGAAAAAAATATTTCAAAAAAACAAGAAAAAGCATGTTTATTGACAACATTTTAGAAAAATGGCTCCATGAGTTAAAGTACAGGCATAACAATGTACACATCGTACATTGGTAAATATGATAATAAAGTATATACGTACAAGTCAAAATAAGTGACATACCTCCTTCGTCCATCTCGCATGGACTGGGAAGTTTCTTTCCTCTTACGGAGTGGAGAATCCATTTATAATGAAGAAAAAAATTATTGTCTTTTAAATATTTCTGAGAGTCTGGCTCAAAAATTTAGTAAATTAATAATCTCTATGATAGGTATATCAAGCATTGGTTGCACTGAGTTGCTGCCCACCTACCCAACCAGGCTGGGTTATTTAACATAAAAAACTTGGGTTAAAAAAAAATAAGAGTAAAAAGTGAGCTTTAAAGAAAACTTAAGAATGCATCAAAATGATCTAATGTTTGAATTTCAGAATGCAATAATATTGGATAGAAGCTATCAAAAATAAATCTATTAAGCATTCTTGAGCAAATTCAGACATCCCATACATGAATGGTGCAAGCCTCCAAAAAAATTTGTCATTGATTAGAGTCCTAAAACATTCCCACCCATTCAAAGTTACTGAAGCATTACTTGGTCCCCTAACTTGCTCTAGTCATTCAAGACCTATCCCAATAACATGAAATTAAATAATTGACCACCAGATATCTCCTTAATATCAAAGTAGTACATTCTGAGATTTTTGTAATTTTGTCTAATTTCTAGTCACTTATTAAGCAATTTATGAACACCATTGATAGAGAAATAAACTTCACAGAGAAATAAACACACTTCAAAGTACATGCTTGTTAGTGATTTCGGTCCTGTCTTACCCCATCTGACTATATATGCTTTAAAAGATTATTACTTCAGGGTTGATATTATTTTTGTGTTAACCAACTCAAAAGTCCATTAAACAAGTCACAAGAAAAATTAGTCATTACGGTAATAAAAGCCTACAGTCATGACTGTGGAATAAGGGGAGCAAAGTACTAACTACAATTTTGTCTGCTAGGTATGGTACCTATGTCATTTAGCCACTTCATATTTTGGCTCTTGGAAAGGACTCAAGTCTTAAAAGACTTGACAAAAGAAAGGCTGGTAATGAAAAAAGAAGATAAAACGCTCTAGGTATGTAAGTAATTTTTAGAATACTAGGTTTTTTAAGAACATGTGATTTTTTTAATTTTGCACAATTTAGCTTCCTATCTAAAAAGCAACTAGCAATACAATACGGTACTGACAATTTTGTCAGTAGGTACCGTACAACACCTTACCGTATCACTTAGAATAGTGAAAGTCTTAAGGTTTGGCACAAATTCTAAAGTGATTAGTTGAATTATTCCATAATTATGAAGAAGAAACTGGAACAGCTTTTCAATAAGCTTGGGCTATTTGAGTTTTAATAAATGAGAAACAGCAGGAAACTGGATTAATTGTTTCAATACATATTTTTTCCATTAATTTGTAGTCTCTGACAGAGATCTGTCACTGTTTTATTAGTAGTGATACATCAAGTTAATGATGTATCATTTAGTTTAAAAAATTGACAATTAATTAATTGACTAAAAGTTACCTATGGCAAATGTAATAATAGAAGTTGATACTCTATGGCATCAAATGTTTAATAATCAACATAAACAATAAAGGTACCGGTACGGTACTTTAAAGATATGTATGAACAATAAAAGTGAAAGAAGTAATGAAACCCCTATTAAACATTTAGCCTGGGTTTTTAATAAAATCCAGGTGGGTTGGGCAATTTAAAAAACATTTTTTTTTCAACCCTGAGTTCAATAAGCAAGAAATTCTAATAATGCTTGAACTCCCAACACTGCCTATAATGGTTAGCTGCCAGAATCAGTAAGTGATCACAAGCTAATGTATGTTAATTGAATAAATAATTCCTACATTGGATTTTTATATACTGAAATTGATGTAAAAATAAACTGGAGACCATTAAGATACAAATTTGGTAAATTTTTTGAAGGAAATAGGCTAGATATTAGCAGAGAAGTCAATAGGGATTTTAAAGAAAAATTAAATTGATAGAAGTATTCTGTGGTTATGATAGACTCAATAATAATGGATAAGATATAATAATGGATAAGATATACCTAATAATTTGACATTAGGTTCAAAACATTTTCTGAATCTGCCATAAATCAAGTACGGAAAATTATAACTTCTCAAGCTAAAATAAAGAGTTCTTCAAATGTTTTAGCACTTCATATCTAAGATTGTAAAAATTCTACTTTTTATACAATAGGTATTCTAACTTCAATAAAGGCGTGGAACATATCTTCACCGGCCACCCTATGTGCCACAATTAGAGCTTTTATGCCATTTGTGAAACAGCAAGATTTCTGTTCTCTTACACCTTATCTAATGGTAAGAAAAATGCATGGTTGGGCCAGAAGACTCAAAATATTGATGGAAGCACAAGATATGTAGGTATATGTATTGAAAATTTGCCATTTTGGAGCTGCAAGATTTCTGTAATAGGTAGGAAAACTGCAATCCTGGTAGCCATCATGCCTGACTACTACACAGTAAAGTAGGGCTTTACATAGGTTGAGAACACCAACTTCATTGCCCAAAAGATGCCAAGGTACAATCGAGTCTGATGGTGGTGACAAATAATATTTTTCTATAGATCAAAATTTATGATCAATGAGGAAGCCAACGTGCACAATCATTATAGCCAACATGCAATTATTGGCATTGACATATGGGCATTACAATTGCTATGGCCAACACGCAATGACTGGCATGGACATACAGGAATTATGATTTTTACAGCCAATGTGCAATGGTTGGCCATTGGCATGGAGTGGACAAACGTGCATTGCGGTTGTTGCAGCCATGAGCCGACGTGGGATGATCAGCATGGACATAAGGAGGGCATTACGATCATTACAGACCAAAACACAATGATTGGCACTGACAAACACGCAATTACAATTGCTCAACAAACAGTCAAATGAGAAAGAGATACACCCAATGATGTCATTGATTGCTTTATTTAACATTTGTGATTGATCATGGACACCAATTCAAAGTCAAGATGGCTGCTGGAGAGCTTTGAAGGGTGCTGATATCTTGTGCTAAAAGGCCTTACTAATCCTATACAGCTTGGCCTGACTGCATCATTCAGAAACCAATTTGTAATATTCAAAAAGATGTTTTTTTGAAATTGTGGGTACTGGGTAGAAACAATCATTATGCATCATATGGCAAGTTGTTTAAAAAATTGCAGATAAAAATAGCCTGTTTTACCTATATTTTACAGAAGAAATTGATAAAAGGCCGTAGGAACATGCAACAGGTGGACAGGGTGCATACAGGTATTTAGAAGAAAATAATATACGTTTAAAAATTACTTTTTAAAAAATATACATTTAAAAATTACTTTTTAAAGACAACACTTCCAAAGAATCCAGTATCTCCAATCTTACAGATGTACAATGAATTTCTCATCTAATTTTCGAAAATTAAAA